AGTACAAAGTTGCAAAATGTTTCCAATTAGCGATGCTTTTATTTTATTAGAAAATGCAAGGAATAATAATTTTATTATATTTTCAGATTTAACAAAATTATATTAATAACCAAACAGGTTTTATAATTTATATTGCTTTGTATATATTCAAAAAAAAATACACTTGTAAAATTTTTGAAAAAAATTATTTTTAAAATATAATTTTTTAAACGCACATATACGTATATCAATATAATACATATACTATATAATATATATTCTGAATATACAGAGTGTCTCATATTCAATGGTACAGCGCTTGTAAGCAAGTAGTGTGGACCAAACTGAACAAAAAAATTCTCTACCATTTTGCGATTTTTGCAATAGTTATCGAGATACTACTCATTAAAAAAAAATTTACGCCAAGTATATACAAGTGTATCGTACATTACGTACATCTTATCTAAACCAAAAATATTATTTTAACAAGTAAAAGTTGTCCAAAAACAAATATAAGATTATACAAATTGCCAAGTATTTGATTAGAGTAGAGACAAAAATATTTTACTCCAAACCAGAAAAATATTTTTTTAATAAATCGTTTAAATTATTCAAAATTAAATGCAGCAAAAGTTTAATGACATTGTCTTTCCAAATAACTTTAAGTTTCGTAAAACAGACTTAAAATGATCAATAGAATTATAGTGAAGCAAAAACTTGGCCATTATGTAAAATTTTTTCTTTTTTTAAAATGATTAGTATCTCGACTAACTATTGCAAAGATCGCAAAACGGTAGAGGACTTTTTTGTTCAGTTTGGTCTACGCTACCTGCCCTCAAGCGCTGTACTATTGAGTGCGAGACACCCTGTATATATATATGGATACATATATAATAGAAAATATATTCAAAAAGCGACATTATCATTACCAGTAGCTGCGTCAACGTAACTATCATCTAAATTTTATTAATTGTCTGGTCGCGGGCTTTCTGTGAAGACACTCTTTCGTCAATTAGAAAACTTCAGACTCACACAAACGGGAACAACAGCCGACGATGGAGTTCCGAAGAAGTTTCGTCGCCTCGAAAGCGCCGCGACAAATTCGTCCCGCGGCCGCGTTTTCGTATTTACTTCGCGCAGCGCTTTGTCCCCGCGTAATTACGTTCCGCGGGAGCTTAACGCCCGACAATTACTCGGCGGTCGTCGTTAATTTCCCTCGAAATAAAAGGCGACGACCACTACGGCGGTGATGCCGCCGTGAAGCGCAATACCGGGTGGCAGTCGTGCGACGATACCAATCTTACGATTTTCACAGCGCACAAAGACGGTCCCTTTTCGTCGAGCTGGCGCGCCGTAGGTAACTTGCTCTCTTGAAACAAGGAGGTTTGTCTATGTCGTGGCCCGTCGACACAAACACCGACTCAACCGGCTGATTATTTTCCGGGCGCCCAAGTCGTGTCGAAGTTAGCGAGCGTCGCGGAATTACCTGCTTTTATCGCAGGACAGTTCATCCACTCTTAAGCCAAATCTAATCTACCCGGGTACAGCCCGGAACGTCGAACTTGTGTACTTGGGCCGCAACTTCGCAAAATTGCTATAAAGTGTGCGAGCGCAAGCTTCCGTTCTCGCCCTTTGTGGCTAAACAGTCGTTCGTTCGTTTGCTGTACAATAGTCTTAACGCTCACTTGTAACCAGTAAAGTTGTTAACCAAAGAATGAAAATCGATGATGAGGGACTTTAATACAAATCTGCAATTGCAACCCATTTGTAAGCTACAGTTTTTCGCGAGAAAATATATTGATTTGTTTTATCACTTTTATCTTATATATTTATTTAATATTGTTTTGAATTATGTTTCTTAGATATTCTGCTAAATATCAGTATTTATTTAATTTTAATAATATTCTAATTATTTTTATATTACTTACATTTTTTTGTTCATTTTGATGCTTTTAATTTTAGATTATTGTTTTGCAAAAATCTTTAAATTTATACTTGATTTTTAATAGATTTTATTTAAAATTTATGTTTAAAGAAATTCAATGTTAATCAAATTGGGAAGTCTACGTATTTTATTAATTACATTTTATTATTCGCAGCCATGCATGTGCAGCGCATTTTAGAATAAAAAAATAACTTGTGATCATATTTTTAATCGCGTAGCTTATCACTGCTTACTGCAGCCGCGACATCATTACTTCCGGTTTATGTCTCCCAAATATGACGTCCATCGTGTCGTTGCACACACGAGCATCGGGCACCACGTCAAACTTTAACAGGCACGTCCCGTGCGCTTATAGGACACGCAGCGGATGTATACGCTATGAGCAGTTATACATATGGCGCGTACGGAAAGAAGAAAGAGGACACGCGGATGTGCTATGAGAGTAGTTTCACGTAGACGAAGACTGTCGTCTGTAGTGCACATCCTGGTAGTAACCCATCTTTATGATCAGCGTTCGTGGAAAGTGCGTTTTCCCTTTTCCCCGTATACGCCGCATCATTCACGCAGTTGCAGTAAAGGCGAGAGAAATCGTCTTGAAAGCTACCCTATAGAAGAGAGATTAAACTGCTATTACAATTATAATTTTAATGGCATTTCATATGAACTGTGATGATATAGACTGACTTAATAACAGCTATGGGCTCTTTCGATATTACGAAGTTATGTTTAAAAGATGCATGTTTTTATAATTATTATAATATATTATATATAGTATCTCTTATTATTTTATAACTACGTAATAATTTCTATTACGCGGAATTGATTTAAATTTGGCGAAACTCTTATTATAAAGTATTTACTGGAAATACAATGAATTATATCTTTTCAATAAATTAATTAAAGTGACAGAAGTGTCACGCCACATCCAATTATCCGTGACGAATCGGGCCGGCCGTTTATTGTTGCGGCTCGCGTAGCATATCGCGAAAGTGTGACGTCTCATTCCGTAGCCGGTTTACGACTGTCGACTGCCTCCGGAAATAAAACATACGAAAATGACACCTGGCTCGAGGAAATTGTCGGCGCTCGGCCGAGTCTTCCCGAATCCGCGAGAAATCACGACGTAGTTTATTCCGACGACCGTAAAAGGACCGGCCGGGGAACGAGCGTCATTCCGGAGGGATCGTCTCGTCGGTGGAGGACATGCGAGACACGTAATCGCAAATATAACGTGTATCCGTGTGAAGTGCACGCCATCCACGTCGTGCGAGCCGCATGAAAAGCAGCAAAAAATAAGTTTTTATGAATATCGCCGCTATCGTCATTGCAAGATCGAGTATCACATATATCATACGGAAAATTAAAAACATATATTCAAATTATTATCCCTTTTTTTTACCAAAGTTCAATCATAAACGATTAATTAGATATTTAGAGTGTTTCTCATAATTACAGATCTGTTTTTTATAACTGATTTAATATGTACTTTTTTTGTTTAAAAAGAAATAAACATATGTTATATATTTGGCGAAAGCGAGAAGGAAAAAGTTCTAGTACAGCCCAATGCAGCAATAGAAAGCAAACCTTATAATTGATTATGCATAAGACAATAATACACGGAAAGAACGATTTTGTTAAAAGGTCTAAAAATTTTGCTAAATACAGATCTGAAAATAATTTTTTGTTGAATCATCAAAATAATTTGTTGGAATGTTAAAACTGATAAGTATTGCTGTAAAACGTTTTGATATTCTAGCAATCATTTAACTTTCGCACAAAATTATTTTGATTATTGAACAAAAATTATTTTCAGATCTGGATTCAGCAAAATTGTTCTTTCCGTGTATAATATCAATATACGATATAAATCTTATCTCACTGCATCTTCTTATTGCAGTAGAACAGAACAAGTAGAACAGAATAAATGTAAATGTAAATACATTATGTAAACGATATTTTTAGATCAATATATGGTATACATGGTACGCTGTTAGATTAAAAACAAGATAATAAAAAATCATGTTTAATCAATAAATAAGTTTTAACATTAATAAATTCAAAGAATATTATTTGTGGTCCGCGTTTCTCGTTGCAATGATAGTTATCGCATCATTTACATTTATGATTGTCAGCGATTTCAATAATTATTTAATCATAATTCTCTTTTGCAAGTGTTGCTTTTGCACGTGTCGCTTATTCGTCATTAATCATTGGAACGTCATAAAAGTAAAAAAAAATCTGTACCCGTTTTAACGATTCATTTTTTTTCTTGTATTCTTCCGTCTTATATGCGTGACACATTTCAGAATGCAATTGCTTTCGATTGCACTTCAATAGCTTGATCGATATATAATTTTCTGCACGAAAGGCTTTATAACGATACGAAGTTTTACGACGTCTGCTCGCTGGAAACTACACGTACGACTCTATTCGGATAATTGGAGCTCTTGTTCGTATCGAGGCCGTCTGTTAAACCAGACGTCGACCTTAACCCGTTTCTTGCGCGAGTTATGCTAATTCAGCAAGATTATATTCAACATTATTTATTCAATTTATCAATAATTTCTTTACCTCATTTTGCAATACGTAAAGTTTCGAGATCACGAATGTTTCATGTATTGCTGAATAAAGTCAAAATTATTATTTAATTGACGTAAACTACAGTAACGATGTGCAAACTGTCACAATGTGCAGATTTACACGTGTTGGATGTCGAGGAATTTGAGAAATGTGAAGGTGGCATGCCGTCTAAACCTGCAGTGTCTGTCTTTTAAAAGATACTTAAAAACTATTGTAATAAGGAACCGGTTAAAAGATACTTAAAAACTATTGTAATATAAGGAACCGGTTTGAGACAAACCGAGGACAGACTTTTTCTTCATCAACGATAACGCGCGTTTCCTCCACGAAACAAATCTTTCTACTCGGGAACCAATGTACCCATGACCTTGAATGGCTGCGGTCAACGGGAGTTTTCCTTGGTATTGCGGAATCGGTATGGCTGTGACGGTCACGTGTCCACCCCCTCATCGTGTTCGTTATGCTCGCCGATTGGCCGCCTAAGCGATCGCAGTTTCGCCGCGTCGCGCGCGCTATTCGTTCAGTTGTGTTGAGCATCATCTTCGCGACGCATCTCATATCAGCCGGTCTGCAATCGGCACGTGTATCTACGTGCGCGCATAGGTGATTGCGTGCACGCGCACTTGTGTACATTTACATTTAGTCAGGTGCATCATCGTGATTAAATTGTCAGTCGAATCACGGACGCGCGCGATACTCGCGATACTCGGCGACATTCTTGTCGCTCAGTCGTTATTCGAGACGTGTACGTAGCATGGAGAAATGTCGAGGGACACTGGAAAAGGTATGCGTTAAATTGTTGTCACGATTTTTGCGAATTTTCATTTTCACCGAGAGTATTCGTTATTAACATCACATTTGCTTCAAGAAAAATAAATCGACAAAGTAAAATAAAGTTTCGCGATTTTGTGCTTGTATCCGCGCTCTAATTTCAATCTGTCGTAATGTTCATTTTTTATCGGTTTTGTTGAATGCTAACAATAAGTGGATACTGCGTGTGTACACGATTGTTGGAAATTTTTATTGTGGAGTTTTTGAGAGTTGTTTAGATGACTCATGTGGAATGCCGTTAAATAAAATGTGAAATAGTGTGAAAGTGTTACGCGCATTATGCATTTGATGGATTTAATGTGAAAGTTAACTGTGCTATATTATAGTTTCCTATTTTTGCGTAGTGTAAAATACAATTAGAATCGGCCATCTTTTATTAAATTTATAACATTTTAACATTGCAAATATCTCGTTAGAATTATTTTGCGATATTCATAATATAGTTTGTTAAAGGATATACATATATATAATATATTATATATTATATATATATATATTATATATATTTTATATATCCATATATATAATAATTTAATGTGAATATTACACATTAGTAGTAAATAAGTAAATTAAAAAAGAATATATATATAATAATATTATATAGCCATAAATAAATTGCAATATAGACCGTATAAAATGGAAAGTATCCGATGTTTTGAGTGAAACTCTTCTTTTAAATAAACGCGCATGCTTAACGCAACGAGAGATACAAGAGATTCGGCTCACGTTACCACTTATAGGTATACGGTAATAGAAAGTGTTTCTTCGGTTATTGCGTGTGTGATTTTAACAGTGTGATGGTAACATATTGGCTGCGAGTTCTCAAGGACTTGGCGATGAAATAAACGCTACATATACGAGCGACTAATCAATTGGCTAACGAAGTAGTATTTGAATGTGAAATAACCGTGACTCGAGAACACGTTTGTGCGTATCTATTAGCCATCGTAAAAAAATTTCTTGAAAATTCTGCTTTAAAATGCGTTATTCGGCTTATTAACCTTGTAATAATAATAAACACGTGCAACGTATACTTTATTGTCTTAAATGCTGTAAAATATCTGCCAAAAAGCTTCTTCTTGCGTAAATTATAAAAAATTATAAATATAATGATGTAGATAGTAAATATATAATGTAAAATCCTTCATATTGTATATCAATTGTTTTAACTTACATATTTTTAAAAATTTTTTCTCGCATATTTCCATAATTTCAGGGATACGTGAAATATTTGAAATTCGAAAAAGTCGAATAATGCTCTGTTATATTCATCAAATTGGTTAATTGTCCTTCATGGATGAAAGTAGTTTCAAGGTATTTACTAATTAAGTATGCAACGTATGTGCTCATGCAGCGGATACACACAATTACTCATATTGAGTACTGTATTTGCGTAATAAATTTACGAGTTAGCCATATCCGCTTGAAATAAGGAAATCGTGCGTTAAAAAAGAAAACGTAGATGCATGCGTTATGATTGTCGAAGCATTGTTGCTCACTTAAAATCTCGTAGAAATTATTTATGTTCATGACATTAATGATAATATTTTAAAATATTCATGAGTCAATAGCGGCTTAAAAATTTGTTGACGCAGTGCTATGTGTGCTAATGCATACCGTAAGTTAAAGCTAATCTTAGAATTTACATGTATCGTACACGTGGTTGTCTTTCAAACAACTCGTACTTCACGTAATTTCCTCGCGTGAAATTTATCGGAAATTTAACGGATTACGTCGGTAAAGTGTAAAAATAGTCTTTAAACGTTTCTACGACTAAGAAAGTAAACTATCAGATAATTTTTATTCTGCGACGACATTAACTGTTTACTATGAATAGATACAGGTTTTGTGCTGAAGTACACTTGCTAAAAGTATACCTTAAAAATTGTATTCTAATCACTATGTTTTATTGACATGATTATCTATACTATACACATGTATGTATATTTATGTATGTTAAAATTATATATATATATATATATATATATATATATAATTGCTCGCGTAATTATAAAATTAAATTAGTCTAATTTTACAGAATACTGTACAATATTTTACATGATGTATGATCGTAGTTGCTATTTTTTTAATAATAATATAAGTTTATCTAATTTTAATTTAATATAATCATTATTATTTATTAAACTATTAATTAATACTTATTAATACTGACAAGGAAAGCGACTACTTCGCGAAGTGTTAAATTCTGATCTTAACGAAACTTTTTACTTCTTTTTACTCACGGCAATCATTAAAAAAAAAATGTATTTACAAATATTTAAAAACATGTTTTGAAAAATAATTATTTTTGAAAAATGTTATTAACGTAAATGAATACATATGATTTTGTTGTAAAACTTTTGTATAAAATATTTTTTAATATCTCGACTAGTTTTCGAAATATAATAAGAAAATGTTTAAAAGTCATTATCTTATCATATTATTAATCTTAAATATAAAGAATCATTATCTTATCAAATCATTAATCTTTAATATAAAGAAAGTGATTTTAAAACTATTTTTCCGTTGCAACTGATATTTTTTAAATTTATCTCTTTACGTTATATGTAAAATTTTATTAAAATCAAAACTTGTTAAAACTAATTAATGCATTCACACATTTCGGCCGAATATTGTTTTATTTTTTTCCGTGGCTATCACTTCTATACCACCTTGACAGTTTGGTACATTTTTTTATAGTGGTTTTCCCAATAGGCCTAATTTACTTTTATTTTTTAATACATACATTATTCAGAATGTCTCCTTTCTTTTTTAATAGTTTTTTTAATTTTTAATCTTTTTAATTTAAAATAAACTTATAATGTTTTTATTACTGTGATACAAATTTCATATTATAAATTTATTCATATTATAAATTTAGTCTGATTATATTTAGTTTTAATTTGACAAACGTTTACGTGAGTCACGAATAATCAAAAATATTATCAATCAGAGGAGCATACGTTTTAATTACAGATTTTCAATTACAGATTTCTCGGCAAATCCGGAGATCGAGCAGTTATTATCCGTTGAGGCACGCGACAATACGTCAGACATATGTGTGAAACTTCAATCGGACGAGCGGTTGTCCATGAACGGGCTGTACCTTCAAGGTGGCGTTTCGTCATCAAGAACGTCGCTTCAGGACAAAGCCGCGGCGTTAAATCATAATGCACATATAGGCGAAAGTTCAAACAGTTCAACGGCTATGATAACGTCGTCCTCGGTTGTCGTAAACGTCAACGGGAGTAATGACGATCCACCACCTTATACCACGATCCCGCCGCCTTACAGCGTGATCACGCCACCAGATCACATCGGTTGGCCGTACGGAGTTTTTTCATTCGGTGATTCGTATTCCACGGACGGGATGACTCGTAGGATGGAAATACCGTTGACACCTTTCCAAACCTGTCTGACGCCGGCCACGGGTTTCCATCCCGAAGGGATTAACGGTCAATACGCATCGTACCCGATGCCCTTAACGCCTTACCGGTTCTTCAAGTTTGGTTATCATAGGAACTCTTTTCTATCGAGGGAACACAACGAGATCGCGGAGAAGATCGATGACAGAAAATCACGAAGTGAGCATCGATGATTGAATTTTGTGATCCTTGCTCCGTGTATTTTTTAATTGTAAAATTGCAGAAATATTTTAAAAGATAAGATTTCTTCGTTTAGAAGTAAAACCGGTTTCGTAAAAATTATTTTTTAAAAAGCTTGGTTAAGCGTTATTTTGTCTAAACAGCATATTGGAGTATAAATAAATTGGCATACGAGGATTTTATTTTATTTTTTTTTATTTAACAGGAAGTCGGCATCATTTCTATTTAAGTTTAATTTGACGATAAGCGAGTTATTGTAGCAATTATATTATCAATAATGGTTTTGTCGAGGTTGAGACTAATCAACAAGCTCTCATAATATCTGCTATTATGCTAAATACAGTGAGATACATAAAAAAATCTAAGATAAATAATTTTTAACAGGATGCGGCGCTATCCTTGTGGCAGCGGCGGTCATCATCTTTCTTATGGCTCTGTCCTTGATGGTTCGCTTCATCATGGAAAAGAGCTGGTGGCGAAGCTAACTCTTCTTTGGAATTGATCGTTATTTTGGAAACGTTCAGTGATAAACTTTAATTTGTGAGAGACTATTAATTAACGAATTTATAGACTTTATTAAACATATTTTACTTTAGCAGAATATATTGCTTCCCTGAGATATCATGTTGGTTATATCTCGAAGGAATTGTTTTTGTCTTTTTCTATACTTTTCTCCTAAGTCTATATTATTAAATTAAGCAAAAAATATATAGAAATGTATTATGTTATTGTTAACTAATATTCCTTCCTATTTCAGTTTTGTATAGATTTTTTAATGACTTTTTAAGATGATTTAACGACTAAAATTTAATTACATGTAAATAATGCCATTAATTTATACATCTTTTTCCTATATTATCTAGTGAATACGACAGTGTTAGTTTTTGTAAGTTGTTTACGCATTGTGACTGGCAATATTCTTTATATTGATGTTAAAAAAAAGTGCGACATCAATGCTTATCATAACTGAGCATTATGCAAAATCAATTCTTTTTTCTTGTGCGATTTAGGTAATAAAAAAATATGCAAATATATATATATATATATATATATTATAAACTGAATTGAATATCTTGTTGAGTTCTTGTTACTTATACTTATATATATTATGATTATTTCATGCTTATTAATGCATGATACTGATAATTAATGAATGAGGAATGATTTTATTTTATTTTTTTTAATTAAAGTATATAGAATAGTCTGCAATAACATATCTACTTTAAACTCTGAGATATGACTGTTAAATTTTATAATTAATGATATTAAGTGTTTTTGTATGTTATTATTGCAACTTTTATTATTTTATTAAACATGTCATTATATACATATTCTTATTAATTTATAAATTTCTTTATGTAATTTGTAAATCTCTAACTAATTGAAATGACGTTGGCGACGTTGTACGAAGTTCATAATTATTTGTCAAGCCCGTTATCCACTTAACGTAGAAACTTCGACGCTTATTGGCCCGATGGGACGCCGATGACGAAGTAGTGGAAGACTGGGAAGGAGTAGACAACATCGTAGTGGAAGGCAAGGTAACTGTACAATAAAGTTAAGAAAAGGAAGGGTAAATGGAGGCGCTCATCGTATACTGATTAAAAATACAGACTTGTATCCCTTGAGAATAGGCGATCAGAAAAGTCTGAATATCCTGGGAGATGTGAAAGTTTGTAGCTGAAGGTAAATTCTCTAGGTGAAAATGGATAAAACTACTAAGATCATATAAGTAGACTCATAGTCTAGCTAAATTCCGAATAATAGGCGTTTTAAAGATACTCAAGTATCTCGGCGCATATATTTTTACGTTTGAACAGTAAGATATACATGTAGCTATATTTTTTTTTTATGTAAAAGCGTTGGGCATATGTCTTACTAAAACCTTTATCAATTTGAGCATTTGCAATTTAAATTGTGGTTCTTCTTCTTCAAATCAGTATTAAATATGCGAGGGACTAATCTCTGTGTATGTTAAGATGAAAAATTGCACGTGCATATACAATTTTTATAACGCTTTGAAATACGGGTTTTTTGTTGAGAATATATGATAATAAAAGGGCCTTATAAAATAAAAGGGTGAGGTCGATTTTCCTTGGCCAGTGGTTTGCGCAAAAGCCGAAGAGGATCAAAGATGAAGCTTAATGTAGGAGTAGAAGCCTCAAGAACGAAAAGGAACGCAGGCTATAAAGCCAGACAAGTTAGCGACCAGAGCAGCGAGGAAAACGAAAGGTCGGAGGGCTGATGAAAAATACAAAAATTTTCTCCCTTGAAAGGGTAAAGGGGATGGCGGTGGATTCATGCTAGGAAAACGACGCCAGGATACTCGAGGCCGGAAAGCCCGCGAACGAGGGTAAGGTGTTTGTCAACGGTTGCCGGTAGTTAATTACTTTACATGAAAGGAACTTTCAGCTGTTTCGCCACTCGAGGCAACCTCGGTCCCCGCGTGCCATCAACCCCCTCCGACTCCTCCCTTTCCGACTCCTCTCCTTCACAGACCTGAGTGCCACCCCTTTTCGTCCCTCGCCCCGCGTCCCTCATCTTCCTGTCACCTGTAAGAGTTTACGAGTATCTAATCCGCCAGCCGGGCCGTACTCTTACTCTGTAAATGCAAAGCTCTTCGCCACTCCTCGATAAAGAGAGTGAAGGTATGCGTATAAATCTTCATTCAGAGATATGTAGCGCATTACACTTCGTTTCATTTCGATTGCTATTGAATAATCAGAGTATCGAGTCGACACACGTTAAAACTTTTAACTTCGAGAATTTAAATTCGAGAATTTTGTAAGAGCACATTTAATATTTCTTACTTGTTCAATTGTTTTAATTGACTTCTGAAGACGTCACTTCTGACGTCTTTTTATGATGTGCAGTTATTGGCAAAATATTTTTTAAATAGTATTTTATTTTTTTGTCTTTAGCTGAATATTTAAGAATAGGTACATATATATGATGCTCTATTTTTATTTAACAATAATCGTTTTATCTCAATTTTAAAATTAAATTTTTGAAAAAAAAATGTTGAGGCTAAAAATTGTTCATTTAATGTGTTTAATTAAATTTTAACTTATATAAGTATAAGAAGTATATTTTATATTTAAGTGTTATATTCATCTGTTTTCTTTCGTAGGTTGAGTCATTCCGCAAAAGTTTTAACATCTTATGCGAAAAGCAAGATATGAAAAAATAATATGCACATTTCTTTTTTGGGGGACATAAGTCAAAATATCTTTGATCCTGAAAGAAAATGAAGGGACGAAATGAAAAATGAAAGAACGAAAGAGGCAGATTCTCGTATAAGCATTACCGTGATTGCACGTGCGAAACAACTCGCGCCTCATAAACTATTACTGCACTTCCTTCAGCAACCATCTACCGCATATCGTCTTTTACCTTCTTGGATTTATAAGAGCTTGGCTGAAGGACAGAAACGCAAAATCCGCACGTACACATACGATTATGCATACATGATCTGATTTATATTAATTAATTATAAATTGCAAGCTTTTATTTATCTTACAACATTTCATATCTTTGCATCTTTTAATTGTTAATTACACCTCATCTCGGATATTAAATTTTCACCGAAAAAACCGTAAATCATTACTCTTACGCGAAAATGCTTTTACATTATGTACCTTGTAACCGAAATTACAATTTACAATTTATAGATTCTTCTTTCCGTGATGACCGTATATTCGGCAAGTTTTGAGAATGCACATCAATGTATAACGCGCGTGTACATTTCGAGTGAAGCGTTCTCGCGGTTTCTTACTCGCGCTTTCGTAACAACGCGACAGAAATAGTGGTACAGCGTGGAAGCGCGATACATCATTCATATACGGCCCGAATCTCATATCGGTTTCTGATCCTCCGGCTATGACGGCTTTTGAAGGGTCACTTCCCTCCCCGCGCTTCATCCCCCGTGCCCTTAGCCGGCACCGCTCTGTTTATTGTTACGTCGCATTTATGCATGAACCCTCGCGATTCTATTGTCACGTACACATGACGAACTACGCTGGGCGGAAGGGAACGCTTCGTGCTTTCTGAGCGGAAGTCGGCGGTGGCGTGAATGGAGGTGGGGTTATTGGGCCAAAGCGGAAATCGATGACACGGCTGTCTTGGCGGGAGCGCGCGGCCCTCCCGTCGACTCTTGAAAGCCAAATTACCGTTTTTCTCGTGTTTTTAATTACACGCTCAATGCCCAAACGTTTCAGCGGATGATAATCTGTTTGTTTTTTACTCGTCATTTGCGATTTTAATGCTATGAAACTCGTCTCCTGTAATGGATTACCGTATATGAAAAGAAATAATCGAATACTAAAAATATACTTATAACTATATCTAAATCATTTTTATTTATTATACAATATTAAGTGTATTAGAATTAACGGAAAAGGGGATTAACGGATAAAGGGATTTATCATTAAGAACTTTGTATGAAATTTTATTTGGATTTTATAGGGAATAAGTAATTAAAAATTATATCTATCGATTAAATTGCGTGATACCTGATCGGCCGGAATAACTGGGGAAGTGACATTGACCAATATCTATATTACATCTCAAGGCCGTAATCTTGTGGTGGAGGACGGAGCAAAAGGGTGCAAGGTCGGAAACGCGAATGTTCGTGGGAGAGGGCTAAACGGGAGAGGAAGCTCTTGGACGAGGTCGTTTCCGGCCGAAGTCTGATGCGTCTTGACTCGAATCCCGACGTTATCGCGACAATTGAATGGGTCGAGCTCTCCTTGCTTTGGCGTTCTCGCTGCACAGCTTCGATAAGCCTCAGAAACAGCCCTTAATGGTTTCCCTCGCGATTGCCGGTATCTATATCCTCGATTCAAGCCTGTCGCGTCCTTGCCGCACCTCTATTCCCGTTTTGCCGTCGATGTTACCACTTTTGCAGAAACACTCATCCAGTCGCCCGACGAGGGACCATCGAGGGGGTCCTCTTTGCGATGCGATTTCAGATCGTGTCGCGTTACGAGCATGTTTTCAGCTCGCATGACAGCAATCGAGACGCCATAGATGTATCTTATTGTTCTTGATGAAATCTCAGCTCTATGAACCTCTATTAATCTCTTTTTTATCTTGTCCAGTTGTCCAGATTAATCTATAATTCAATTAGACGCGATTGTAAAAACTGCCTTACACCGAACTAACTTAATTTACGTCTATTAAGATGCAATACTATTTGCATAGTACACAAAAGAAATATCAATATTTACAAATGGGATCAATATTAACAGATTCTCTTCTTCGTGAGATAAAAGTAACGTAAAAGTTTATAAATACAATTCTCATAAAAATTACTGCTTTAAAAGATAGTTTCTGTTAAATGTACATTTGTCTTTATTCTTTGACATTTAGTTATACTTTTATGTCATGTTTATCGGATATAACTTTACTCAAATACGTTATATACTACGCTTATATCGCCACCCCATATTGCTCGTGATCTGCACAATCGGATTAGAATTCGGTGCAGGAGACCTCGATCGGCAAACTAAACTGAGTTAAGCTCAGTATTAGAAGCCAAGCCTCGTTTATTAATTCAAACCGAAGTTAACCGCCTATGTTTCTCTCCTCGCGAACTCGAGGAAAACCGCTGGTGTGCGACGTTACACCAGGAAGGCTACTACATGGTTACACCAAAGTTAATCCTTGCAAACACGATGCTACCATCAATATCGATAATGTATATATGGTATACCCTCTGAAGATCTTAAGTTATTATCACATCTTTGAGCCATCAATAAGAGTGTCGGGAAAAGAAAATTAAAAGATAATTAAATAAAAGATATATATATATATATATATATATATATATATATGTATATATATATGTATATATATATAATACAAT